GTCCCAGGCTGCACAAGTTCTGTGGGTGACAACCTGTCTGCAGTCTCCTTGTTGCAGAGCACACCAGCAGTCCCAGGAGGCTCCCAGTCCATCAGTTAACTTGCTGGAGGATACCAAAACTGCAAGGCCTCCTTTCTTGTCACTGAGCTTTCACTGACCCTTAAGAACATGAATATCATGATGTAGGCCTCAGAGGTGCACAGTATTTCCACTGAACTAAAATGTCCTATACCCTTGTAGTTTTTAGTCTGATCAAATTCAGAAACAAGTCGCAGTCTGTTGGTTGAAGTGAATTATAATCACAATTTTTGTGATCCTCAAACAGTTTAACCATTCCTACAGAACTTATGCGAGGTACCTGGGGCATCTGAGATGCCTCCTTGTCATAAAGGTACTTCTGGACAGTCAGTGCAGATTAGGAGGATGACTTCAGAAGACATCACTATCATGTTTGTGCTGACTATACAATACATAAAGCAGTCAATTTAGAACCTTTTGAAAAGTTTTAAGATTCCATTTAAAACACAGTTAAGGGAGGGAGAAAAGGCCAAGTAAGGTACTGTTGAAACCAGTGTTAAAAAAAGCACCACTTACTGGTTGGAAGATAAAATATATCATCAGGCTTTCAAGAACGAGCACTTAATTGCCTAAAGACTGTTACAGAACTCATTGTTAATGTACCTAATTTGCATAAAATCTTTTTTTTTTAACTAACTGTTGCAGAACACATCTAAAATGGGGAAGCACAGTCCTCCATCAAAGCTCAGCTTCCCAAGCCAGCGCCACAGTTGTGGTGCATATTTGTAATGTGATTTTCTGGACTCAAATGTCATTATGACAATTAGGCACTATATACCATGTAGGGGGTTATATGTATTTTAGTAATATCTTTTAAAGAGTTATTAACGAGCAGAGTTTCTCTCAGGAAGCTGCAACAGTGGCTCTAGGAATTGATCCATCTACAAGATCCCAGGATGGCTTTTTTTATAGTGTGTGCTAATTCAGTTTCACTCAGAGGTTGCTTCTTTGGAGTCAGTGTCCTGTGGATCAGATTCTCCATACGATAACCTTCCTGCACATTTCATCCAGGCTCTGTGTGTTGTGCTGCTTTCTGTTTTCTAGCAGTTAAAGATTTGGCAAGCCATATTTCTTCACCACTTGTAGGTGATGGGTCCTTGGAAAGCAATGCCGTGTGGTAGACACAGAATGCGAGGAAGTTTCAGCTTTCTGCTCTGCTGAGACCAGCACTTCCTAGCCAAAGAATTTATCAAAGCTGCCTTTCCAGCAGCAGGGGCATGTGGTGAGGAGTCTGAGTAGGGCAATGTTGTGGCTGGGTAATGGGGGTTTATGGTCAGCTCTTCAGGTCACAAAGTTGTTTTGGCAGATGAATTCTTCAGAGAGGGGCAAAAAATGGGTCTGAGGGCTGCTGTCTTGGCACTCCAGAGAAAAAAAGGACTTGTGACTGCGAGGACATCTTGGAGATAACACTACAGTCACAGATGGAGAAGCTGAGAGGGTGCATTTTGCAAGTAAATGCAGTTACTGAGCCCTGAAAAAGCTCAATCTAAGAGCTCAAGCTAATGATAAGTGGTTGGATATCTCCCCCACTGCTGCCTGGGCTGAGCTGAGGGCTGGGGACTACCCCGAGCCTGCGGTGACCATAGGGAACATGTGCAGAAAGGGTTGCCTTCCTGGGACAGTGGGAATGGTGCTCCCTGGTGTGGCCACAGCAGTGCTCAGCACAATGTGTCAGCACAGTCATACAGGCAAAACTATCTCACAGGGGCAGCTGGTCTCAGTGGGAGGAGAATAGGATGTCTAGGTAAAAATATGGTTTTGCTTGTAACTACTTAGTCCATATTGAAAGTGCCTTATCAATATAATATTAATTAGTAGTGCTAGCATAAATTACTGCTATTATATTATACCAGTCATTATATTCTAATTATATATTTGTTCTTTTCTTAAAAACTTTTCATGATGCAAAATGGCAACTACTGGAAAGCTGTTAGAGCAGCTAATCATCCTTACTGTTTAAACCTCCTTGTTTGAACTTCCTCATTCCTCAGTCTTTTGTGAAGCAAGCAAGCCTCAGGAGATACTTTGGCAAACAAGGTGAGAAATGTGGTTTTGTCTCCCTGTGTGCCAGTAAGTAAAAGGGATCAGTCCCAGAGGTACCAGTTGGGTATGTTTGATCGGCACAGCATGATCTTTAGGCAGGTCAGGGAAATATCAATGCTATTTTCTCTCTAAGCCTCAGATTCCCACTGGCCTGTTTATTCAGAAATCAGGTGGCAAAAACATTAGAGGATATGAAATCTTAGGGCCCCTGCAGAATACCCAGCCCTGATGGATCCCACTGCAAGCACATTTGACCCCTGATCATCTTCACTGTGTTTCAGTCTAGAGTTTTAATTGGCACTGTTGGATTGAAGGTATCCCAGACTACAAAATTTCATGTTTTTTAAATCAAGGTTTTTGGAAGCGCTGAAATGCAGAGAAAGGAAATTTTATCTTGGTTGTGGTTTGGTAAAGGATCTGAAGCAGCTTTTTAGAGTGGCACTTTCACAAAAGCATTTTAAACCAAAGTTCATACTCCAAATTTGTAAAACTGCAGTGTTCGCATGTAGCATTGACATTCGCTCTAACAGACTGAGATTAAAAATACACATCTCTGAGTTTCTTCTTACACTTCTAATTCCTGTACTTTATAGCTGTACTTTAAACAGGATTTTGTACACAAACTCTTTAGTGGCACAGCTCATTATCTGCTTTTCCCCTCACCCCTTACCTTCAGAAAAGAGCAGAAGTGAGAATTTAGGAAAATAATAACCTATTTTATTATATAACCACAAGAACTGGGAGGAGGGAAAGGGGAAGAGTATTCTAGATTAAGGCTTGATTGCTGAAATTGTTTTAACTACTTTTTAATTGGCAAGCTGTTGAGTTGTTATCATCAATGAGGAACTCATCAACAAGCAGTATTGAAAGCAGTAAACATTTACCTGGAGAAGCAGAGCTCACAAGCTCTGCAGCAATCATCCATAGAATGTAGAGTTAAAACTAAGTGACTGGATTACAAGAATACATTGTACAGGGAGTATCAAGGGTGGAGTTTGGAATTGATAGTTGTTTTCTTCTGGTTTTTTTTCTCTGAATAATTTACAGGGGCAGGGCAGGAGACATTTGCACAGCCTCGAGCTGCTCTGCTTTGGGAGCCCTGCAGAGCAAAGCACTGATCTCTCTTCCTGGAGACCTTTTCCATATGAGATGTGCAGGTGAATCTCCAGGGCTTGCTTTGCTGTCAGTCCCTGCTCATGGGCTCTGAAGGTCCTCTGCAGCTCATAGACCTCTCATCTAATGGTGGGCACCTTTATAGCAGACCACATGTAAAACATCTCTGCATTTCCTTGATGCTGATTTATACCATTAAAGGGATGGGGGTGGAACAAGTTGTTAAAAGATGAAGAAACTGAAAGCTTCCCTAACTGCTGCATTACCCACCTGACATTCTTCAAATGCTAGTCATTAATTACTAATGCCTTGAAAATCAGAGCAGATACCAAATTCAATTATGTTACATCTCTTAGCAAGAACATTTCCTTTATCTTACCATTTCCCATTCAAACCATTCTTCTTTGCAGTTTTTAAAGGCTTAGACCCCACTGTGTTTCTTATCCTTTGAACCTGTAATCCACATAAAGATATTTCTACTCCGTGCCTCTCCTATCTGCACGCAGGTGAAATTCACATTGTAATTATTGCAAACTTAAAAATTTGACCCTCCAGCATCCCCCAGAGCTATATGATGGCAGAATGTGGCCAGTGTGTGCCATAACTTTCCAGTTGGTGATCAAGTACTTGGCAAAGGACTGAACCTGCGTTAGGACTCAGGCTACCCTTGCAATCCTTACACCTCCAGGCCTTCCTGCAGAGTGGGCAGAGTTCACAGTCAATCTTACGAAGCCCTAGAGCTAAGCTCTCAACTGAAGTAATTCCCTTTAGATGCCAGCAAAAACTTGGCCCCATGGAGGCAAGGCAGGGTATTTTTCTTCAGTCACCACTAATGCTGGTCTTAAGTGAGCTGTATATTCAGAAATTATGGGGTTTATTTCCTGGGACATTTGTTCTTTACTTATGTATATTTTCATGTCTGCCAGCACTCTGAAATGTAGACATTGAGTGTTTGGGGCAGGCTGGATGCAGTTTTTCATGCTGCTGACATTAATTGGATGAACAGGCCTTCTCAGAAGGGGCAGTGTAGGAAATGTGTATGGGAAAATAAAATAAGGAGTTTCACAGCTAAATAAAGACAAGTGGCTGAAAATGGTTTTTACAGCTTAGGCTTTCATATGATTCATTTGGGAATCTAAAACTATTTTGCACAACTAACAAATTAAGATTCACAACACCTTTCTGAATATAATTGCTTCTGTCTTGCAGATGGAAGAACAGAGGTATTGATGCTATAATTTGAAAATATGTCTCCTGTTTTTAAGTCCCCAGATTGAAATACATTTAAACCTAAATCTCAGAAGCATTAAATATCTCCATTTATATTCATTCATTTGGCATTCTTTGTACTTAGTCTCTGAAAACCAGATGCATTGCCTTCCAACTAGAATGGTCAAAATAACTGAAGTGACATGGCAGACATCACAGAGCAACTGCAGGGCCAGACTGGGGTTGGGACCTGTGTCCCTTCATGACACATTTCCTTTTTTACTCACTGAGTATCTGCCTTGGATTCCTGAACAAAAGGAAAAGCACATTCTGTTTACTCAGTTTTCCTCTGCTCTCTCGAACAATTGGACATCATAGAGATGATACTGGTTGGGTTATTGATCAATTTTATAGTTACTTTACCTTGTCTTTCTAACCATCAAGAATTGTCTTCAGGTATCTGTGATTAAGTTTCTTACTGTAGAATTGAAGTGAAAATATATAGAGAACCATTTGGATCACCTGTTTTTCCCCATTGTTTTGGTTTTCTTTTCCAGCACACAACAGTTTTGCCCTTTGTATTAATCGAGATGAGAACAACATATCATCAGTATCCCAGCAGGAGCTGTGGACTGGCTGCAGTGTGCACCTTCGCTGTTGGCTATATTTTATGGTAAGGGCTGTACATGCTGTGTTTCCACATTGTATTGGGGGTTTTGTACTGCTAAATTTGGGCACATATTTCATTATGGATATAATCGCTAACAGATTCACGCCGCATGCCTCGTTTGGTCCAAGACCTGGACTTTGTCTGGTTTCCCCAGATGCTTATATTTTTAGAAAGTATATGCCAAACCTCACACAACAGGAATTTGTTGAACAATCCCATGTAAGCAGTGGTCTTTCCAAGGGTACATTTTTCAACCTTTTTTCAAGCTAAATGTTTTCCTTGGACCTTAGTTTTATTGCTTGGGGTTTTTGTTCTATCAAATAAAATTGAGAATAGGCAAATGATTTCCTGCATCAGTATTTAAGCGGCAACAGAAAAGATAGAACACTGTCTTTTTTCTTTACTAGTTAATAAATTCTTTCTGTAAAATTGATTACAAAATAAGTCAGTAATCCAAACACTCTAAAGTTTGTTTTAAGAAATGGAAATGCTGGTGAGAAATTAAACTAAAACAGAAATAATCTTTCTTGTACAACATTAAATTAAGTCTTTGGGCAGTTTCTAATCAAGGACCTGACTTGCGTGACAGAGTTAATATCCTTTGGTCACCCTAGTATTTATTTTTCACTAAACCTTTGTTTTATTTATATTTCTCCTTTGATGCCATCTATTCTTTATCCTTTCTGCATTTCATGACCCCCATTTCATATTCTTTCTTTTCACTTCACAACATCCTTCTCTCAGCTAAGAATGTATTTCCCAAAGTTTCCACCAACCGAGATAAGACTAGTGTGATAGTAACATGGTCTCAAGGCAGTACAATCACACTGCTTCAACTATGCAATCTGTGCCTTTGGTCCAGTGAAAGAGAGGTCATTATTCATACATATCCACGTACTCTCAGTGATTGTACAACGCTATTAATCCAGCTGAAGTGGGGTGTTGTGTCCCAGGACAGCAGCCACATTCTGCCGTTTGCTCTTATAAACATACATACGCTTCTTAAAGAAGAATAATATTTGTAATTGTAAGATAAGGGCAGCCTCATGCAAAAAGGCACATGATTATTCCTTCAGGAAAAAGTAACTATGCTTTTAACCCATATATAGTAATGCTTAACTGTGATAGTTCTTGACCTTCCTCTAATGGTGCCTGGAGACAGATTGACAGATTACCTATGGCATGACCTCCTCTGGCAACTCCTGTTTTCTCAAAATCATCTAAGTAGACACATGCAATAGTATTTAATAAGAATTTAAAATTGAAACAATCCAGCTTTACAAGTGAAATAAAACCAGATGTGCCTTAAGATCTTTTAAGAATCTGTTACAGAATCAGTGGGATGCTCATCTAGCTTGATACTGCCTACTACAGTGCATCTGTGTCCTGCAGCTACAAGGTTAGAGAAAATTGTAGGACAAGTAAAGCAGTAGAAGAAGATTCTGCATTAAATAATTACTGCATTAATAATTACTCAAGCACAGATTATGGTAATCTCGCTTTGCTTTTGCTGTTTATTGGTTTTGCTTACACATATATTATTTCCAAAACAGATAGGGCTACTCTCAATTGATTCATCTTCTTCCAAGTTGTGATTTCTGTTTAAATGAGATGAGACAATCTTAAAAGTTCATCCTGCTAATTATGCACATACAACCCGTTTCCTCTTCTGCTGTTGTGGAGGGAGGCCTTTGCAGGTTAGCGGAGGCAGACAAAAGCTACACTGTGCACTTGCAAATTCTGCGTGTCTTCAGCCTGCAGTGCTATTGAAGACTCTATCCAAGATGTACTTGAGGCTGCAAGCCAAATCTTGGCCCCATTATATCAATATGATATATCTTATTCACAGGTTGGAAAAATCTACCAGAAAGTATGAAAAGTGAGGAGTTTGTCATCCCTCTCACTCAGGGTGTGCCTTCTTTTCAAAGCTGAAATCTACTGTCTTCCTGCTGCCAAGTGACCACATTGCAGTAGAGATCTTAATCACTCAGAAGACTTGGAATTGCTAAACTGGGATTTGTTGTCCTTGTTGGCAGAACCCTCAAGGTTAGCACAGTGTGTTAAAATGAGACTATACCTGCAAATTACCTAGTTCCATACAGCCTGATGGAACTTCCTTTGTACCTAGGGTTGACCATGGGTCCTGTTCTTGGGGCTTAGTTTGTGGTTCATGGATTTTTAACTAGAATTTAGAGATCTGCCACTTGAGAATTTGTCCTTTTGCCTATTCCATTTTTCCCTCAGCAGAAGTGTATTCACTGCAACTCTCAGAATAAAGCGAAGACAGTTGCTAATCAGATGTTCTCTATGTTTTATTCTTGAATTTTGAATTTTCTTCCCATCTCAGCTGAAACTTCCTTAACATCTACATGTTTTATGTATTGTGTTGCACTTTTTACTGGAAAGGAACATACAGGAGGATGTTGTTTAGGTTTGATTCTGTGAATGCTTTTTTCAATTCCAAGTAGAGGAGAGCTTGTTTTGTTTTGTATGTGACTGAATCTGTTATGTATGAGAGAGGGGGTAGAATAGCAAGTGCTTTTTTAAGTATAATTGGTAAATAAGAAAACTGGCAAACAATTCTGAATAGCATCACTGAAATTGGAGGAACATAGTTAAATAGCTTGATACCTCCTGAGCATGATTCAAAGACTTGTTTTCTGAGAAACATCCTATCTTGAAGAGTAAAATCTTCTGTTTTTCTTTATTTTTGCATTCTCTCCCTTCAGTCAAAGAGTTTTAGAGTAGGCACACTTAGCTCATGCACTCTCTGTGAGAGGGGAGCTCACAAGGAACTGTGCCCAGGCAGAGCATTCAGAGACTTGCATTGCTTGTTGCAGACCATACATGGACTTTCAGGATCGAGGCCATGGGATAAGATGGGAAAAGCCTATTGGCTTTATTTAGCATGGCTTGAAAAGGTCACGGTTTGTATTGAATTGTTAAATCTAGACAGTGCTAAGAAAATCAGAGCGTTTGCCAGTACTACCAGAAAATTCTGCCAATGAGTTTATGGAGTTGGTTGTCAAGGAACAAAAAAGAGCCAGAAATGTGTTGCTCCTTGTAACAAGAATGACCTCATGGTAACTAATATCAGAGCCTAATATGTCCCTAAAATAAACTGAAACAAATACATTTATTTTAAATGGTTTTCTTTTTCCCTCTACTTTTGAGCACTTCAGGATGCCAAAAAAACAGACCCTAAAAATCTGACTCCACTGCTGTAGTCATGCTGGGCTGCATGTTTGGGAGCAAAAGACTTGATCTGCTCTCTTACTGCTATCTCAAATCCACTAGGAGCTGCCTCCACATGTGCCAAGCTTGGACTTGATTCATTCTTTAATTCTTTTTTAAATCTATTTAAAGAGCTTTTAAACTTTCATTCGCAAATAAAGTTTCTCTTGAAGTGACTTTAGGAGAGTTCCGTAGATTCGCTGAGGGAGACCATTTAGATGGGGTAATTCACTGAATTCTTCTTGAACAAATTTAAGAAAGGAATGTACACTGAGGATTTGGAATGAATTTGAGATAGATTCTATCAGGCTTGCTGTAGGATTTCCACTAGCAATTCTCCATAGAAGGAGAGGAAGATCAGAAAGAGCAGATGTTGGCACAGACTGCTAGGACAAACCTTGACATTCAGAAGAGAGGGGTGGTGGGTTAGAGTGTGAAGCTTGGTGAGAATTTAGTCATATTGATAAAGAAGGGCAGGATTGAGAACCAGAAGAGTTTTTGAGGTTGGTGGTGCCAGTGGAGCAGGAGAGACACAACATGGCTTTGCTAGGCTGTGCTGAGGGTTTGTATGTAGGAGGGCATCATGCCGGCTTTTGGAAGTGAGCACGGGGGATAAAAGTTCGATAAAGATCAAAGGAGCCGGTGGCTAGAGGAAAAAGAAATAAAATTAAATGTCCTGGGGACAAGTAAAAGATTTTAACTAAAATCATGGGTTAAAAGAGAAGTGGATAAGGAAATGTGCAGCTCACAGGTCAGCAGCTTCAAAGCTGAAATCATGTGAGTAAGTGGGGAATGCTGGGAGAGGGGGTGAAAAACAGACTTTGAAATCAGAGTTGGAAGGCTGATGTAGAAGTGGATGATAGATGAGACAATGCAGAGGAGAAAAGGGTTGGAGCTGCAGCTGCCCAGAGCAGGAAAGAGTAGAAAGAAACAGGAGCAGCAGAAATAGGCCAGGGGAAGATCAGCGTCCCCTGTCCCTGACCCAGAAGGAGGGTGGGAGGGCAGAAGTGCTTTCAACAAGAGAAGGCTGTATGGTTCCCCAGCCTGTTAGGTCTGACATAGCCATTATGACTGTTACTTTCTGGCTTGCCTCCACCTCCACATCCTCAAATGTTTCAGTCAAAGCAACAGCACAATCACAGATGACATGCATGGGTAATATGTTCTCACTTCCTTGTGCAGCTCCTTAAAATACAGCTCAAGAAGGCATAGCAACCATTACTATATTTAAAATGAAAAATTATTTATCAAAATAGATGACTTCCAGAGATGACAGTGCTTTGCAGTGAATCTGCTAAGTTGCTGTCATTGTAGCTACCTGTACATAAACACAAATTTCTGCTAAGCTTTGTTCATCCCAGAGGAAGCCAGCATCATGTCATGCTGAGTACATTTTGAATGTGACATTATTTGCAGCTTCAGTTTCTCAGGACTTGTCTACTTCTGACTGCATAAGCCACTCCACACCAGTAGCACAGTCCTGTGACCCACATATTGTTCTCCAGTCAGATGAATGGAGAAGAATCCAGCATTAAGAAAATAGAACAAGAGGGGATGATTGCTGTTATTTCCTAAATTATGACTGTTTATTGAACTTACTGTTTAGTCTTTAAAATTTCTAAACTATGTACATTCCTGGTGTAGGTGTATTAGGTGTGGCTGACTGTTAATATAAGAAGCCCAGCATCTTAATACAGCTGAGATCTTAAGAATTCTGATTAGATGGAGAACAAGCTCTCCTGTGTTTTTAGGGGGCGTTGTGGAGATGTGCCTCACATCAATCAGTATTAGAAACCAAAAGTAGAACAAATCTAGTGTGGCTCATTGTGCTCCTGTCCCTGAAAGCACAAGATTGGTCCTACACTACAACCACAAATGATTTGTTTCTTTGTTTTGAACATCTCCGCTGCTGTAAGCCCATCACCTTGTTTGGAAGATGTTGCACATTTTAATAGCTCTGGGTAAAGTTAGCACTCTTTGTGAAAGGAAGAGAGTGATGCTGGAAAAGATCATGAAATAAAGGTGCCCATGTTCTGTTGTTTGCTAAAGAGTAACCACTGGGAACTGGTCTATGATTTGTCTGGAACCAAGGATTCAGCCTTCCTTTGTGCCAGTCACTGAAAATATGAAGAGCACTGAAGATATGGGAGAGGATTTGCTGCTGCAAGAAGTAACCAAAAAGAAACTGCCTTTCATAGAGAGTTGTCATGTACTCAGGCTTGTACAGCTAATGTCAGATGCTTCAGGAGAGCTTAGCAGACCATTATGAAACAACTAGCCTTCAAGGAGAGTTTTCTTCCAAAACTTATGTCAACCTAGGTGCTTAGATCCTTTGGTCTTGATGGTTTATATACCTTGTACACTTTAAACTTAGGCATAATTGTGCACATTCTTATTGCTTGTACAATCTCCTGATTTCAGAAACTTGACAGAGTTGCATGACAGGGCCTAGAGAAGAGGAGTGGACTAAGTATGCTTCCAGACTTTCATATTTCAAAACTTTTTTGAGTATCTATATTTCAGTGATGTATCAGTGAAAGGTAGGTTAGAGCATTCCAGAGATTAATTAGGTATCATTCAGAAAGATATTTCCATTATCAGATTTGAATTTCTTGTCTCTGAGCTGTGTTGATGTGATTCTTCTGTCACAAGGAAGAAAACTGGGAGCTCTTCACCCATTTTATGTCATCCATTATTATTCTGTGTCTTTTCATTTGCTGCTCTTGAGAAGTTACATAGTCCCTCATCAAACATCCTCGTTTCCAGAACTCATAGTACTGGTTGTTGATGACTACAGATTATGGTGAAGGACTCAAGCTGGGTAGGGAATGGGTAGAGACTCTCTCTGAGAGAGCCCAGACCACAAAGTGCTGCCAAGCTGTGACAGCTGAGAGCAGCCACCATGAAGGAGCAACTGCCTTCTGCAACATCTCCCATTACAAAATTCTTAAGGTGGTGTCATAGTTATTATCTGCCATTATACTCACTTGTTGAGCTTGATTCTGCCAGGACTAAGGTCTTACACTTGCTGTTTTAACAGCTGTATCATTTAAACTGACAGAGTACACATAAACCACAAGGTTCTAACAAATTTTTGTGCTTAGCTTTCCTCATTAAGTAAGGATCTGTATCCAAAGAATAAATGTATATTCCCTGCATAGTTTTCATTTTCTCTTGATTACTTTGATAGGAGAGATATACAACATCTACTGTACAGTAGAAGTGAAAACCAGCTACAAAGTCACATTTTTTGACAGATTTGTTAAAAACAAGCAATACTGTGCATTTTCAAATAGCTTTTTCTGATTTCTACACCAAATGGTTGAAAATTTCTAAAAACAACCACTTTTTTTTAACATACATTTTAATTTGAATACAATGTGTGAATATTTCCATTCGTTCTCTTTTTGCTGTTTCTAACAAATGGCTAGATTAACTCCATGACCTCTAACACATTCATCTTCTAAAATATACAGTTATGTCTACATACAGCTGCTACTATTCCAAATCACAGGGAAGTTCAGGTTAATTTTGTCTTCTCAGAAGTAGCCAGTCCAGGTTTAGTTTAAACTTTTTCTCCTCAGTTTATTTCTATCTAAACTACACACTTTTTACACCTGTTCAATAACAAAATCTTCAATTTGATCTAGATTTGCACTCCTAAATAAATCTTAATGCATGCTTCCTTGTGCTTAACTAACAATGAGGTTGGATAGGAGTAATGGCTACTGGAACTGCAACACTGAAGGAGTTCATTAACACTGGTAATCAGCACTCTTGTGTGGAAGCTTTATGCAAATGGTTGATCAGCCCTTTATAGAGCAGCCTCGAGACCACCTGTATTCCAGCAGGAGCGAACCCACTAAGAAAGGCCACCAGGTGAGGTTTCCATGGCAGCAGTCGTCCCTTTGCTGCTCCTGTTTGTAGTACAGACAATGCCAGAGCATGTCACTGCTCAGTGGAGAGAAGGCTAATATTACTCCAGCCCAGCATAGCCAGCAGCGTGGTGCAGCTCACTTTCAGAAGGATCAGGTGGATTTGTGACTGTTGTCTCCACGGCGGTGCTTGGTCCTTCTCATGCTCAAAGCAGTTGTGACAGTGTGGCCACCCCAGGGACAGACAAACAACACCTGCACCTGAAGGCACGAGCAGCATCACCACGCAGGGAGTGGGCTCCTGTGCTGGGCAGCAGAGAGCAGAATGCCGGAGCTGTCCGCAAAGCCTGAACTAACCAGAGATTGCTGACATGCAGGAGCCCATCAGTGATTCTTTGGCTGGATTTAGAAAATGCTTCCTCTTTCTAGCATAAATGTGTTCTAGTAAAAGCCGCTTCTGCTTGAAAGCATGAAGTTGGTTCATGAAGTTGGCTACACAGATGCCGTTTAGAAGGTCTCTTGAAAAGTCCCTCTGTAAAGGTACTTTATAATCCTGAGAAGTTTCATCATACCACAGAAAATAAGTGAAAAAGAGACCAGCTTCTTTTCAGTCTTTTTCCTTGGAGCTTGTTTTTCACAGAATGATCGTTAGGAAAAAAGGCAAATAAAAACTGAAAAAAGCAAATGAAACTGAAAATTGTTAAGCCATAATAGACATTCCCTGCTAAGCCAACCTGGTAGTAGGGGACATCCCATTACCTTCTACCCAACTGTCTCATCTTTTTCTTTCATCAAGAGGATCATGGTGTCCCCTGTTACCATGGGTTATGCAGGAGCCTTTCATTTCTTCATAGATAATTTTATCTAGTCAGGTTAATTCTGTCACAGGAGAATACTGGGGAAAATAACTGTAAAGTACAGAGATAATTTCCCATATGTGAACTGATTTGGAGAAGAGGGTTTAATTGCATTTAGATCATGCAGATTAATTTACTGACACATGTAGTTTCCCAGGTGAAGTGTGCAACTGTTAAGGGTTTGGCTGTAATAAAAGCTTTTCCAAGGAGGAGGGAAGCTGTGACAACTGTGGACATTTCCAGGGTGATTGTTAAACAGGGATTCTGTACTCTCTGTGTGACAGAATTTTATGGTAGCAGTTTTGTGTGAACTTCTCTGTCTCTACCCTTTAGGAGCCTTTGACTTGATCTAGTGATCAAAAATCTTCCTTAAACAAACAGAAACTTAGCAAGTGAGGCAAATCATGTGGACATGGAAATCCCCATCTATAACAGTCTGTGCAGCTGCTCTAGCTGTGCTTCACTGTGAGCTTTTCTCTCAAATTTCCAGGTCAGAAAGGCAAAGATTTACATTCTTGAAGAGAGCCCAGCAAAGCCCTAGCCTACCTTCAGTGAGCACTTTACCCAGTTAGCTTCTGAGATGTTTGCTCAGTTGTTTGCCAGTATTTACTTTTCTTAAATTCCACTGGGAGTTCCATACATACTGGAATGTATGGACTCTCTCTGCTCCCTCTGACTTCACCACTCACTGCATCAGAGCTCAACACAAAAGTGATCCCATCAGAGGATACAGGTGTCCACTGCAGCCACACACAGCAAAACCACACACCTGGAGTGCTTCTTCAGGCTGCACTACTGTAAAGCTGATAGTCTGTCTCTAGAGTTAGTGTACCAACAATGTCCTCTGTAGCTGAATGATAGAAATCTCTGTGTCACCAGAGTTTTGGTTTTGTTTGGTCTTTTAAAAAAATATTTCTCTTTCCTAGAGAAAAATAGATTCCAAATTATAGCAGGTAACTGGAAGGAGGACCAATCTAAAACACAGTTGCTGAAGAAAATGTTCTCTCAAAGAGAATCTAAACCATATGCATCTGGCAAACCCAAAAACTGATTACCATGTGTAGCAAGGAAAAGCAAAAGGAAATCACAAATGTGTATGAAGTGAAAGTAGGATACTGCAGGAAGCAGAGCGAGATGGTAGTAGAGCCTGCAGAACCCTGAATGCTCTTAGGATAAAGAACCTGCTTGGAACAGAGGCTGCTGCAATTTCCAGCTTTGGCATGAAACAGGGGTTTCCTCAGAAATATAACTGAGCAAGGAAATACCTGCCTACATCAGAAATGAAATCTGGCCAACCGCTCATAATAAATTGAAAGCAAAGCAGTAAGAATGTGGGAAATCAATCATAGTTTCATCATTTGTGATGTCTCTTCGGGATGGATGGCATGCACGTGCTCCAGTTCAGCTGCAACTTGCAGGCCTTTCAAATAATTGCTTTTTGGGTTACAGTAGCTAAACCCACAGGCCAAGCTACTTTTGTAAAACAGGGCTGTAAGAGTCAGTGCTTGTTATTTTTGTTTTGTTTCAGGGTGTGCTGGATTCACCAAGTTACAGGAGTGTGGGTGTACCCGCTGCTTGAGCACCTCAGCCCAGGTGTCAAAATAATCTTTTTTGCAGCTGTTACCATAATAATTAATGTATTCTACTTGGTGGGAGAAGTCCTGAACAACTACATCTGGGATACACAGAAATGTGAGTATTGTTTTAGGAATATTATCTCGTGAAGTACACCATCAGGACTTGAGTATGTTTCTCTGAAAATGTAGAATGTTTTAAGCTGACTAAAACAAAGGAAAATGACAGAAGTTCCACTGAAACATCTTGCTTGCCTGCCCTTAAAAACAGACGGATGAACAGAATGGCTGCTGGAGAGCCTGAGGAGCTATGAATATGTATTCTCTTTTACAGTACTAATTTAAGAGCTCTTGGCAATTACCTGAGATGTTTACAACCCACTTATTAGCTGATGAACCCATTAAATGCAGCTAGAATGTAATGTGGATGCCATTAATGGTAAGCTTAGACTGAGAAATGAAAATATACTCTTTTAGTATTTTCAGGTATTAGGTGTTCTCTCAGTGTATATAATTACTCAGGGAAAATGAACATGTTCTTGTCAGTGAAATAACAGGAATGAAAGATCACTTTAGTGCACGGTAAGCTCAAATGTGCAGACTGTACATCATCTATCCTGCCTAGGCCACCCATTGCTGAGGAGAGGAAAAGGGAAAACAAAACAAACACAAGATTAAAAGTAAGTTCCTTTTATCTATGAAAGATGGCTTTCATTTATCAAATTGAATGAAATAACATTCATTATAGCTGCTGTGGCAAATCACAACTGGAGGGAAATAAATTCACTTGGTAGTTAATGGCACACGCGACTCTCTTTAACAAGTCCTTCAATACCAGGTAGAATCTAATGCTAGAAGCTCAAAGCAGTTTTACTTTCCATTTGCTCTATTAGCATCCAGGTGTAAAATGCCTTTTTGTTTTTGCTCTAGGACCATCAACCACTGGTCATAGTATTCAAGATGGGTATTCAGTCCTCAGTTTGATGTCAAATTCACATTTATTTAACTTCTCTAAGTTAATTCAGGAAAGATGTTTCTAAAAAAGGCAGCTGCAAGGAATAATTTCACTTAACCTAAGTCCTGTATGAAGAATAATAGTGTGGTAAAGAATCACATATTCTTAGCAAGTCCATGAATAAGTAGATGGTGGAAAAATTCCTGCACTATTCCAAAGTATGCATAACAAAATCCCTGGTCCTTGCAGGCCTCCGCCCTAGAGGAGCTAACTCAATTGGGTCATTCTCCCAACATCTTTCAAGGTTTACCCTGGAATTATTGTCCTCTCCATCATTTCCTTCATGTAGATAAGGAATATTGATCTCAAGTCCTTTCTGGCTCAAGCACTTGGAAAACAGAAATGCCGTGAGTCACCTGCTGGTTTGCTGAGCTTGAAACACTTTGCGCAAACTTAACCTGAAGCGTGTGGCAGGAACACCACAAACAACAGAGATGTAAAATTATGCCACTCTGTCACCATGCGAGGCCTGGGAAAATATTATTTGAAAACTGTACACTTAAAAGGGGCTTTTGAGCAGTAAGACTGCAAATCCAAACAGTCTGCCATGAGAAGATTTCTGGGGTGAGAAGGGGTTGTTTTGGGTTTGGAGTATTTTTATTTGCCTCTAGAGATGCATTAAATAGAACCTCACTACTGACAAAATGATTTGCAGTTAGTTTTTCCAAGTTAAACCACAAACATGGTAGGGAAGGAAAAATTTGCCCTTTGTACAAGCCAGTGTCTGTCCACAATTTTGTGGATATCTGCATTCCTGCCAAACTATTTGATGCATCTGCAGTAGAGTGCTTCAGAAGAAAGGAAAGACGTGCTTTCAGAAAGGCAAATAAAACAGCTTTTAAAATTATTGGAAAAGTTCCTTCTAGGAGAAAGCAGAAGACTTAAGATTGGCTCTGGAGCAAATTGTAAACCATCTGTAATCTTTTGGTCCCAGTCTCTTGTTTTGGTTGTTAAACCTTCAGCTGTGGCTCTCCCATTAACACCGGTGTGCCAGCAACACCCAGGGCCATTGTACTTGGGCTGCTGGCAACATGCAAACCCATTTGTCTTGGTGTTGTTTCTTTCAGCAAGGCAGCTCTGCAGTTGTGCTTTCTAACTGCAGATGAGTCTCTGTTTCCCACATTGGAATTCATGAATTATCTTTTTGAAGTGATTTACAGTGTATTTACCGCCTATGCATCTATTGCACTAGCTGGTGATCTTACTTGTGAGTGGATTTTCCTCTCAGCATTCTCAAGCATTGCTTCTTTTTTGCCTTTGGTTATCATAAGTCTTTCTTTTCCAGCATGCAGCAGGCCTGAAAACCTCCAAAAGAAATATTTGTATTTGAGATGTCTGGCAGAGAGGGCTTAGTCAGAAGAACAATACTTTTGTCAGATACCAGTAGTAATTCATTGTCCAGGAACAGGCATATGAAATAGCTGAATGTTTCCATTGCCAGAAAAAACAGTCTGCTGCCCAGCCCAGGCTTTGCTCAGCATAGAAAAGAGACAAGTCCAGCAGCTAGAATAAGTTCTTTAAGGAGCCCTACACTCAACTCAACCCTCCTGATATTACTGAAAGAAATGGCCATTACAAGAAGAGAGAGGCACCCTCTCAGCAGTAATTGTTTCTCCATTCTTGTACTTTCAAAAAAGGGAGATGTACCTGCACATACTTAAAAATCAAATGTTGAAATGGAGAGGGACCTCAAATTATTGAATTTTGAAACACAGTTACTAAAATTTTCTTTCAAACAAAGATGGTTGCTTATATTCAGCTATAGTAACATCTATTTTAGTTTGCTAGGAGGTAAGCAGAGCAGGTGAGGGAACTACATGTTCCCAGACCCCTGCAGCCATCAAAGGCTGGGTGTGAGGCAGGGGGTCAGGCTGATCTGAAAATGGGAGTGAGGGAGGATTGTGCAGCTCCATTACTGGACAACCACTGCCATCAGGTGTGCAGATGTTTTTTCCCTTCACAGAAGTTGAGGTAACACAGGAGAGCAAGTTCAGGAGAAACAGCATTGATAAAGTAAAGACCAATGCATTAGAGGAACCTCTCTAAGCAAACCCTTGAGTTGTATTCACTGATTTTTTAAAGCTGCTCTCTGTATGTTTTCAGGTATTGAAGAAGGAAAAGAAAAGCCAAAATCGGAGTGAACAATAAGAGGCAACACAGAGGATTGTTTATAGTTCCATGGAAGATTTCTCATCCCCAACAGAGCTTGGCCTGGAGAGGAATCTTCTGGAAAGGAAGAAGTTTCATGGGCCCACTTCTCAGTGCAAGGATATTTTTGGATTTTATATGGGGGGAAAATGATTTTAACTAAGAATAATATTAATGTTTCAAACTTCAGTTTCTCCATGCTTGCATGTGACATACACATATAAGATGTATATTTATCTCCAAGGCATTCTCAACGTGCATTTCTTGAATCAAATAAGTCATTAAACCATTAAGTCATTAGATCTTTTTACTTCTGCCAAGAAGAACAATGAGTCCATTCTCTGTATTGTTTGAGAAAAGCTTAACCAGATAGGTCTAATACAGGGAAACAAAGCAATCCTATATATTTCAAATTACAGCATAGAAGTTAATTGCATGAATGTATCTGAAGAAGAGTTCAGTCTGACTGAAATATTAATGTAACACTATGTAACAGCTGCCTTAAATTCGTTATGTTAATAATTTTACCAGTTCAGTGAAATCTTACTTGCAGTGTTAAGATCTTTAGACCTAAATAAAAATGAAATTATCCTTGCAGTTCTGTTTCTTCATGCTGATTCTTGACATTTTTGATGGATTGATGGCATTTGAATGATACATTTTCAGGTTTTCCAGTGTCAACTGTAGATTGTATAATTTCTACATGAGGATTTTTCGTCTTATTTTCATAGTAAACTAACAGACCTTGCATTTTCATATTGTAAGTTCTCAACAGGTGGGCTGAGCTGTTCGTGTTGCACAAGAGTGAGCATTTAAGTCTTACTTCAGGAAGGCATGTAAGCAAATGTTTAAAGTTAAGCACATGCCTGTTGGTATAAGGAATTCAATTGCAAAAAACTAGTGATTATTTGAGTTTGATATGATTCTGTTTAACTACTAGACAATCAAGACGTAAGTCTAGTGGGCAGGAAAAATCATCTAGAACTAAAATAAACTGAATAGAATAATTTTTGACAAGACAATATTTATTAAAAATTAGCTTTATGCTCCAAATACTGGTATTCATATCACATATTTGTTCATTAGTGTATTTAGTAATTTCTTCTAACACATGCAGAGCACTTTGAGTATGTATGGTGTTAATGTGTTGTTTTTAGTAACAGGATTTCTGCAGAGTTTTAATACAATATAATGGTGTTTCTGCTCTGGAATAACTCCGGGGAAAACTGATCTCGTGCAACTCATTACATGCCTCCACAGTACTTTTTAAATGTATGTACACACTATCATACAAAACAGCACAAGTTCAACAATGTGCTTTTTGGTTTGTTTCCTTCAAAAATAAGATTCATTAATGATATTGTCTTTTTCTGTCCATCTGCTAGATTATTTTTAACTTGCTGATCAAGAGTTGCAAAGATTTTGAAGCTAAGCAAATTACTAGAAATTTCATTGAAATAAGTGGCCAGATAAAGGAGCTCCTCTACTGATCCCTCCTACAGAGGGAGAGGACAGGACACACAAAAACCACTGGAGTTTGGAAGCAAATGGCCGTAGCCATGTGGCCTTGCATTAGGGCTATTATGTTCTGCTGTTCCTGAACTCCCCATTACATGTGCACGATGCTATTTGCGACAGGCTTTTAAAACTCAGGAAGGAGAGAAGGCATGGATTCAGTCATGTTTAGTGGGCTAGGAACTGTTTAAAGTCACTGCTTCTGAAAGCCGTGGTAGCACATAGAAGTAGTGGTGGACAGTGAATGTTCTGGGGGATCTGGCTGTACTTTCCAACAGCAGCAACTGTGGCTTGGGGCGGGAAGCCCAAAGCAGAAATTCTATTGACTTTTTGTCATGTGAAGAATTTACATAACCTATGCTCTGCTATTAGGTCTAGGACTTGTTTTTTTTTTTTCAAGATTTTATTTCACAGTTTCTGTGTTTCCTTCACAGAATTCAAGAATTCATTCTAATAGGAAGAATGGGTTAACTAAGTGCCAAAATGCCACAGAGCTGTACCCATTCTGCTAGAGCATACTCTGATCATGTCTGCTGTATATATGGCACCAATGAGTACTGAATGTCTGAGATCTCAAAAACTGACATTGATGGAAAGATTCCTCCTTCTCGGCAGGTTTTGCACCTGCTCAAGATAGGTTTTTCTTCTAATACCGTGTCATTATATACAATATATGAGATGTAGTAAGAATATAAAGAAAACAGAAATGTCAGAGATCAAAATTGCATAGATGAATCCATAGGTAGGTGTCCAAGTGAAAGAAGGCTCCCTTTCAGAGGTACAGTATAGGTATGCTTAAAGTTGTCATCCCTCATATCTGTGAATTTGTGAATTTTCAGCACCTCAAAAAAATAGACACCAAGCTTAGATCTCAGTTAAACCCCTGAGGTTGGCAATGTTAGCCAAAGGCAATATATGTGATACAAAATGTGGTGGGTTACATTTGGTTTAAGAAAATTTATAGTATTCCAAGAAGGTTTGAACTCAATTTGTCTTCTCACATCTCAAAAAGTTCCCCACCTCCTGTGAGCTTTGAATCATCGTACTTAAAGTCAAAAACATTTTAGAGCATTAAATCTAGCCTCTGATGTATGAACCATGATATAAATAACTTGGGGGCCTGTGTACCCAGAGAGCACTCCTCTAGACTGCATTCATTCCCTTTAGGATTACACAATCCATCACTCTTAAGAAAGATGATGGATGAATGATGACTAAAATAAAAGTCACTTGTAAACTTGCCAAATTTCAACCATCTTGGCTGAAATTGTCCCTGAAAGGTATTTCTCTTGGGGGAACTAATTTTTGGTGGAAAGCTTTTTGTCAGAACAAGTAATTTATTTCCAAGTGCAAGTCTATGAAAAAAAAAAGTCTGGAAAACTTTTCTCTACTTTTGCTGTGGAACTCAGTCTGAAGACAACATTTATGTTTGTAGCATTTCTGAATTTATGGCAAATAGCTATTTGTCTTTGTCCAAATTTTAGGAAAAAAATAAGCCTGCATTTCTGTGTCGTGCACAGGTAATTCTCCAGTGTTTATCAGCTTTGGGAATCATCCATCTTGTGGCTGAATAGGGTTTTCCCTGCCATCCCTGATCTGGTGATCCTCTCCATGCCTTGACTACCCAAGACAAAGACCAGAATGGGGAAGCCACTTTGCTTCCCATGAATTGTCAATACCTCCCCAGAGCTGATGCAAATAAAGCTGCATAGAAGTGTGAGGGAAACAAAGCTTTGATGGCAACTTGAGCAATGAGAATAGCTTCTAAATGGATGAACTAAGTGAACAAACCTCTAGCTTTTCCCTCAAGGACTGCAACAAAATGAAATTAGTAGTGTTTGTTATGCTCTAGCTGTAATGATAAACCACATAGAAAACTCTGCAAAGGAGTCATTAGTTTTGTTGTCATAGAAGATCACGGTGTGCAGTAAATAAGGAAGGCTGCCACACCTTGAACCACGAGGAAAATACAAAATACAGTTTCATCATTCAGTGAGCACCATCCATCAAGTGTTACGAGTGAGGCACAGGAAAAAAATATTGTGTGATCATCTAATTAAAGGCAATATCATAATTCATACTCACAAGGGGCCAAATTAAGGTTGAACAGACAGCCTAAATGCTGACATTATCTCACTCTCCAATACCCAACTTTTCAAAATTAGTAATCTCTTTTTTTAGTAATAGAACATAAAAAGGGAGGTTAGAAAAAAAGGCTGGTTAGAAAGTCTAGCCACCATGTTGTCATGAATTTCATTGTAACTATGTCCCCTGTTTTGGTTTTTCATCATTACTTTCTGCCTGCATGTAGCTGCCCCAAAACACATATTCATAGTTCCCATACCACTCTGTTAAAAAGGCTTTGTCATAATTTGCAAACTTGTGCCACAATTTCAACATTAAATTATTTCAGTGTGTAATTTGGCTTGTGTAGGACAAAACTGTAATTTGTTGTTTTTGTGTAGCAACCATTGCCTTATTTTAAAGGAAAATGACAAATATTTTCCCTGATTTTCCCTACTCTTTACATCTCTCTGCCCATGGGAGTAATATTAGCAAAATCACCACCAGTGCACGTCAAAGCCACTTGAACACTGAGTAGACTGACAAATGGCTCACCATTCTGCAGGCTCCAGGGGGCAGTTTGTAGTGGCACTGTATAAAGTAGGCACTTCTCAGTTCATTTTTCCTATTGAATTTGCTTTTCAAAGACTGCTTCAAATCCTAACAATAATTTATTCTTTGCCTTTTATTTTCTATGAGGATTGGTCATTCTGCTCTGATTCACACTTCAGTAGCCTTTGAAGACTCAGATACCATTAGGCTTAACACTCAAAAGATTCATCATATAAAATGTGAGCTGATGTATAGTCCTGAAGAGACCATCAACCTGAGGCTAGCATCACCAAGGCAGGTTTGGTGTTCCTGGCCTGGGAGTAAAGAAGTAAGCAATAGGAGAGGTGTAGGTGAGGTCACCTCCAAATGCAGACTTGGAAAAGTGCTACTAATCCTATCTCTGAATTCTCTCTGTTGTCACATGAGTGGGGTCAAACACTGGTGACAGGTGTCTTCTTTCTGCAGCAGCATGAGAAAGCTCCTGATCAAAGCCTGGAGAGGTCATCGCCACTAGAGTATCCCAGCTGCTCTGCTCGTGTGGTTCATAGCTTCACCTGCTGCTGTGGCCAGCTGGTTAAACTGGGGTCACAGGTGTTGCTGGGAAGGACAGAAACCTGGGAGCTTGACTACTGCCAAAGTCCCAGGGAAGAAAAGAACAACTGGAGGTTTGGCTGGTCAGCTCTCTACAGTGGCAATGATCTCTCTTTCCTCTTTAAGGCAAGAACAAAGGGAGAATGAAACTAAATGAAAAGTAAAAGGATGTAGCTGTTGAGATCTGTTTATAAGAGTTCTTGGGCACATCCTGAGCTCACAGCACACACACAGGTGCTTTTAATTGCAGGGGCTTTGCTGAATAAGGGGCCAAGAGGGCTGCTGGCAGGTGGAGCATTTTGTGTAGTGCTTCTAATGATGTAATGACAGGAGTTTGGGCTTAGGGTGAAAATATACATTTTGTGCATAGCTACTTCCTCTTGCTTGTATCATTTAAGTAACTAGGAAGAACAGAACTGCCCAATTTGCAGACCACAAACATGAAATATATTTAGCATATATTCTCCAAAATGAGCAATTTTATTTTTATCAAAAATGCACTCTATTTTGTTCAAGTAACAGATGGAAATCAATGGGTTTTAATGTAACCCAGAAGAGCAAGTTGAATTCTTATTCCCTTAAGTGCCCTTTTGTTGTTCAGACCACAGCTGTAAAGGGATTTAAACCTCATCGCAATAAATGCCAGTACAGAAATTTGAAAGGTAGGCCACAGACTTTGTGGCCCACTGGAGAAGGTATCTGCTGTTCTTTAGAGTTGTGTAAAATGAGACAGAAACGAAATAGCATCTTTTTCATGTTATTAATGTTGTAACTAGCCATGGTGTTCAAGTCCAGCATTTTATATATAGCTTGTGTACTAAAATATAAACATATACCTTTAGGCTGGAGAAGCATCTCTGCAGTGTGCATTCTAA